TAAGAAATCAAGAACAGTTTTTGATTTCTTGTTGCTTTAATGTTGTTTTTTTGCGTAAATTTCAGTTCTTTGCTTCGGATTTTTCTTTCCTGTTTGTTTGGCTGCTGTGAAAACAAGAAAATAGAAATGGGGTTTTCAGTTTTCCATGATTTTGTTGGAGCTTACTAGGGATACTCTTGAAAGTTTATTAATTTTCATTTTTGTTTCTAAATTTCCAGGCGAGTTCATCTCAGCTATTGGGCACAAAGTGGAAGGTTCAATTTAACCTGGTTTGGCTGTTCACCCTTCTGCAAAGCAATAAGTTAAAAAATCAACCTTTCTTTTCCCTTTTTATTCTCTAGTTCAGAACTAAACCAGGGAATGCTGAGATGTGCTTGAAAGTTGAGAACTATTTGCCCGTGATAGATGAAGCTGTGGCTGCATCTGGGTTGCCTTTGTTTGTTCTAGATAAAATTCAACATTCTGTTGTCAGTCCCTTTAGGATCCATGTGGTATTGCCAAGTGTGGCTAGAAATTTGAAACAACGTATCATGTCAAAGCATGATGTCTGTGAAGATGGTTGAACTTTTGCTTTTCTGAGGTCAATTCCAGTTGTTTGTATACCCTAACTTAATCAGGTTTATTGTAATTGCTGTTTAGTTATCTTCCATTTCTTGAAATGGAGAATAAGGGGAGCGTGTTAATGCAGAAGTATGAAGTAGGGAGATTATTAGGCCAAGGAACCTTTGCCAAGGTGCATTATGCAAGAAATCTTGAAACTGGGATGAGTGTTGCAATCAAAATAGTTGATAAAGAGAAGGTCTTGAAGGTGGGGATGATTGATCAGATTAAGCAAGAAATCTCTCTCATGAAGCTTGTTAGGCATCCTAATATGGTGGAGCTTTATGAGGTTATGGCAAGCAAAACCAAGATTTACTTTGTCATGGAATATGCTAAGGGCGGAGAACTCTTCAACAAGGTTGCTAAAGGAAAGCTGAAGGAGGATGCTGCAAGGAAGTATTTTCAGCAGCTGATCTGTGCTGTGGATTACTGCCACAGCAGAGGTGTGTGCCACCGCGACTTGAAACCTGAAAACCTCTTGTTGGATGAGCAGGGGAATCTGAAAGTCTCTGATTTTGGATTGAGTGCACTTGCTCAATCAAAGCACCAAGATGGGTTGCTCCATACGACCTGTGGAACTCCTGCATATGTTGCTCCAGAAGTGATCAACAGAAGAGGCTACGATGGGTTCAAAGCTGATGTTTGGTCTTGTGGGGTTATCTTATATGTTCTTTTGGCCGGTTATCTTCCATTCCGTGACTCAAATCTGATGGAGTTGTATAGGAAGATTGGTAAGGGAGAGTTCAAATTTCCTAACTGGTTTGCTCCTGAAGTACGGAGGTTGATTTCAAAAATCCTGGATCCCAACCCAAGTAGCAGGATATCCATGGCCAAAATAATGGAAAATCCATGGTTTCGGAGAGGATTAGAAACACCAAAGCCCCCTCTTCTTGACCATAACGAGAAAGATTCAAAGGAACTAGCTGCTTTGGATGCTGATGCAGTTTTCAGTATGAATGAGAACCCTAATGATGCTATTGTAGAGGCAAATCAAGAGGTGGGGAAACCTTCTAACTTGAATGCCTTTGATATCATCTCCATGTCTTCAGGATTCGACTTGTCTGGTTTGTTTGCTGAAGGGAAAGATGAAAGGAAAAAAGTGCAATTTACATCCAACAAAACTGCATCAACAATCATATCAAAACTGGAAGACATTGCAAGGCGTCTGAAGCTGAAAGTGAAGAAGAAAGATGGAGGGTTGTTGAAGATGGAAGGGTCTAAAGAGGGCAGGAAAGGAGCTCTGGGCATTGATGCTGAAATATTTGAGATCACTCCGTTCTTCCATTTAGTTGAGATGAAGAAGAGCAATGGTGATACGTTGGAGTACCAGAAAATGATGAAACAAGACATCAGACCGGCTCTCAAGGACATTGTTTGGACCTGGAAAGGAGAGCCACCACCTCCACAACCTCCATTACCTCCACTGCTGCAGCAGCAACCACAACAACTGGACGAACAATAGCTGTGATCATTTCTCCAAAAATTCATGTTATCTCGCCTCAGAACTTAAAATGATTGACCAAATTTGGTTTCTTCTTGAACTTGATCTGTTTTATGTGGGTACTTGAAATATTTTCAGTGGTGTTCTTCCTGTACACAGTTATCAACCATATGTTTGATCTTGTTTGCTTCAAATATCAATCTAAGATTGTTTTTTCTGCTATTTTTAGTGGCCTGGTTATTGAGTTGTGATCTAATTTAGAAGTGGGGGAGAGGAGGATATGGATGTTGACCAAAGATGGGGACTGATATCTCTTGGTTTCATCTGAATAGATCTAACGATAGAGTTGCAAAATCTAACGTGAGAGTAATTATAGTAGTTTTTTTTTGTGTTTTTTCTCATTTGGTAGTAGGATGCATGAATGTTATAAGATTATTAGAGGTTGCGGAAAAATAGGACGCCTAATTACAACTATAAAATGGATAAAATAGAATATGGATTCTGCTTAAATTTTATTTATACGTAGTTAGGATTACACATCGTAATATTTTTAACATTAGAAAGTTTTGATTTTTACTTCTTTTAGTATCTGTATTGATTTCTTTGGTAATTCTAGTTCTAGCAATCGATCAGGGTAACTATTTTTCCTTTATGAGCAACTCACCGTCACTTGAGATCGAAATTGTGAGATCGAAAATGGAGCTAAAGCTTAGATGCTAGTTGGTCGACATTTCAATGTACATGAACAAACTTTCACAATGAAAGGGAAGAAACAATCTTCTGTCCCAGTGACTTCAATTTGATTCTGTGATTTATTAAATACTAAAAATTAATTAATTTGACATAAGTATTAATAAGTAATGTCATTTTCAATAGTGGAAGAAAAATACAGGGTTGAGACGAAAATACTAATACTATTGAAGTATTGTTTATTTTAGTTACGTTGTAAGAAAAAATCTCTAGACTATTGTTTAGTGAAAAAACCAGAGAGTTAAATATGAAGTTTTCAAGTTTTCATGACCTTATAAATAAGGTGGGTTTGGTGGATTTGGAGAATGCACTTAGGAATTTTTTTTTTTTTTTTTTTCTACAAGGATAAGAAAATAAAATTTTCTTCCAATTTTAATAAAATAATTTTTTTTTAAAATGCTTCTAAATCTTGATGGAATGTGAAGAATAAAAAAAAAAACTTTAAAACTTGACATGTTTTATTTTTTAGTGGCCATTTGGGTTGGTGATTGAAATATAACTGATAGTTGATAATTAATATTTAATAATTAATAAATATTATTGTTTATAATTAAAAATATTCATTAGAATCAATAGTTGATAATTGTTGTCTAAACTCTAAATCAAACACCCCTTTAAACGATTGTTTAAACCGTTAGGTATCTAATTTAGTTTGCATATATTTTGAAACTAATTCTTCCTTAATCAATTTTAAAAGTGTATCTTGAAATTAACTTAATGCATTTAAAAAAATTAATTTCTTTAAGTGCTAAACAACTAAACATGGATTTAAACTTTGAACCATCTATAATTTCCTACGAATAGCATGAACTCAGTACCAGAAGATCAAAGATAAAAAACATTAGTAACGACTTTGAAAGAATGAGAAATTCTCGTTGGTAACAATTTGAGTTTTTCTTGTTGGGAAAACTAAAGCATG